CTACGTGCACGTGTGGGGAAGGTAGCTACTTCGGTCTATTCTACAAGGGATTCACTATCATGAGGTGTAAATACATCCGTGCAATGGTCGCATCAGTATTAAACAATTTTTAAAACAAAAAACATATGAAAACTTCTCTACCTTCAACAGAAACATCATCTGAAAAACTCCCCTCTGTTTGTAGAAAATCGAAGACCTTTTCCATCTGTGAAATCTGAGTAACTGTCAAATTCAAAATCTGAATTTTTCGACCATGAAATACTAGTTCAGAACTACGGACAATATTTGCACACTAAATTCAGACAAGTAAACCAACTGCCAATGGCCTTTAATTTTCGATCTATGATTCAAGGGAACAATTAAAAAGGACGTAGAATATTAAATCTTTCATTCACGAACTCATTTCGACGCCGCACACCAGCATCATCACCATGGCTGCAGCACAGAAATGTAGCAGCATGATATTATGAAGCTGTGCAAAATTTTGAGTAGAAACGACGTTGGTCCCATTAATTCTTTCACATATTCCAGCTGTTACGCGAACAAACGCAGCTCGTGCATTCGCTTCACAGCTGGTTTTGGCCAACCATTCCGCATGTGTGACGGCTTAATTATTAAGTTAATTAATTATTAATTAAGTCCAATGTCCGTTCTGTATATTCCTTCGTAATTGACATTTGTCGAAAAAAAGGAGTGTCTCTAGTAGAAAGCATATGAAACGATGGCAAAATGCCTCATCTTCCCATTCATCAGAGTCATCGATTCATCCCATGTCAGACGTTTCGCAGCCCTTCTGAACATGAACCATGGATCAAGAATCGATAGCTCCCTCATTTCCAACCCTATCCATCAATTTAGTTTGGTTTCAATAGATTTCATTGAAACGTGAAACTAAACATGGTGTTTTACCGTATATCATTTACTTTTATTGTACTGACAGCTAAATCTTCTTTCACTACTGTTGCCGTTTCTCGCATACCATACAACCATGCAAGTTACCCATGTAACATTTAAAAAAACATTTTTGCAAGTTTGTACAACCTTTATTGCATTTATTGATATTCTTACAACGGTTATAAACTGTGACAAATACTCACTTGTTTTCCACCGTCATATCGCAAGATAGACCAAATATTCCATGGTTGAATTTGATAATGGGAACTCGAGCCCTTAAAATTTTCTGTACATCGCCGTAACATGGCATGAATTCGTTCAACACGTCTCCAATTGTCGAGAGCGTATTTTGTACGAAATGCCTAGATTCTTTTGGCTTCTGTTTGCAACAATAGAAAAACTGACCATTGGACTTTGTAGCATGAACCTGAAAGTTATGAACTTTGATAATAAACTCCACACTCGTGATGTCAGCAATCTTACGTCCAAATAAGGCTCGTTGTATAACTGTATATCGACGTCTAAATCACATCCGCGCCGGCCGAAGCCGTTCACTGATGAACCGAATGGTTTACATATGGCCGATGGGAAAAAAGGGCGAAATATTTCCTCGATGGCTGATGCAAGAAAGAAACGAATTTTCAGTCCGACTTCAGACAGTTTCGTTCGTTCATACAATTCATAGATCTGATCTTCTAGCTAAAACAAGCGATCACAAAAAAGGATCGTCATACAATAGTCAACAGAGCAAGAAGTAAATTACCCTATTATTTTTATTTACTACCCAATCGATTACAAGCAGAACAAGAAGTAAATTTTCAGTACTCCTTCCTTGTAAAATAATTAACTATCAATTTTTCATAATCCTCAAAATATGAACGACTTGGCACGTGTGGCAGACGTTGAACTTCAAGAAATAATAATGAAGCAAGGTCTGAGCGAGGTTGCAATGAGAAATCATCAAATCTGTCTCGTGATTAACGTCATTATGTGCGCTGAAAAACAGAAAACGGCGAAGCCTTTGTGAAACAGCTGATCGAAAAAGGCAACTGATCTTTTGGGAAAAAAATTCTAAAGGATACACAGTGGTTAGCTTCTCGCAACGAATGTGTAATAAAACAAATAATACTTGGTGATCCTCTCATTTCTCCGGATTCACATGGTGTATCACACCATCCCTCTGTTTACTGTTGCCTAGAGGACCGCTCAGGCAAGCCACAGCTCCATGGCACTTCAGCACTTGCTGTACATGAGCGCACAACAACACTGTTTGTTGGTGGAACAAACACATCCGAACACCAATGAATGAGCTTCGATCGCTAGGCTTACATACACGCGTTTGTTCGACCCAAGAAGTGGTGTCGTTGTGCGCCCATTTACCGCAAGTGCTAAACTAACGTGGAGCCGTGGCATGTTTAAGCGGTCACTTATGCTCTTATAAGCAATGGGACAGTGCGCTATGTCGCATGAATCCAGAGAAACAACAGGGGAATAATGTTATGACCGGCGATATTTGGAAATTAGCAGTTTGTTAGCAAAACCATAATACAGAGTTTATCATAATGTAATATCATTAAAAACTGCTCACCGTGTCCGCTTCTAAAAGAGCTTTGTTCACTACCCCATAATCGATTTTTTCAACAGCCAAAGCCTGTGGTTGAGGAAAGTGAGGATCATCGCTACGACCGCCTGAAATATATGCAAATCGAGCTTAGGGCAGTCAATAAAGAAATGTCACTTACGGGATAAGTACTTTACAACACGATTTCGGACTGGAATGACGCGGGATTGAAATCGCGGGCAAACTTTCTCAAGAAATTTATGCAAATCTGCAGCGTCGTTAAATTCGACCAGATGTGTTTCCTATAAACCAATGTCAGACATCACGGCTCAATCAAAAATATCTGCTCATATTCTCTATAATTACAACTGACATACACAAAACATGAGTTGGGTTTAAGGCGAACTGAAGAAAAAGCAATATTAAATGCAGACAACTTATTTTCGGTCAGTGAAGTCGTCATATTCATCTAAGGCTTGAAAAAAATGCACACGTCTCCCAGTCTCGCAATCATTATCACGCCCTACAATCACACGAATTGGTAAATGCAAATTCAGAAAAGATGTTCCTCGATAAAATATTTCTTAAATTAATGGTGGCGTTTCTAAATTACCAGAATTGGCTAATATCCCATGGTTTCATGGATAACTCTAAAGGTTAAAATTAAGACCTCATGCTTCCATTTGCCTATTCATCAGACAGAGGTTCATTGTCGAAATATGGGCCTCGTACCAAACCATTTTTAATCCAACAGTTACAATGAAACACAATGTAACTCCGACGTTGCCGGTCCAAAGCCCGGTTAAGAACGGAGGAGGGTTAGAAACGGGGGCGAAATCACCGTAAAACTTAGCCACCTGCCCCTATGGTACTGAAATCAACCAAATTTATACCCGCTCGACCGTAGCCCGGGTAACCAAGGGCCGCGCAGGCTGTTGGGTGACTGAGGCAGACTGCGAAAAGTTGGCGATCAGAACCTGCTCATCGCCCCTGCCAGCTGAGGGCGTAGCAGTACAACAACGACCACGAAGATACCAGTCAGCAACGGAGTCGCTATCCGTTCTGAACGGAGATAGCAGACAGCGCGATGCCATTACAGCACGTCAGAAAAGGATCAACGAGAACGACACCACCAGTGGGAGCCTACAAACAGAAACTGGAATATATCCTAACTCAGGGGGAAAGAAAAGTCAGATGATGAGGTAGTAAGGTATCAAATCGATAGTTGGCCTCTCATCAACAAAACGCCAAGGCTCTGGAATCCTGAATCTCTGCGGGAGTAAGCAATTCTACTTAGGTGTCGATATCACGACGCGCACAAAAGTCGGTGTTAATATTCTGGTAGAACTCAACCTGGTTGATAGAATCGTTAAATGGAAACCCATCAGCGGAAGCAAAGCACTGCTCCGACTGAAGCTACAACAAGCTTAAGCGTCAAGCTTGTTACGCCCAATTTGAAGAGAAAGTATGAATCCTTCCCTGAGGAACGGTGTATGCACTGTACGAAATGCCGAATGCGGAGTCTCTCACTCTCATGGGCAACTTTCATGTGTATATCGGAGAAGACCCTGAAAAGTGGAACGGCATGACTGGAACAAACGGCCCTAGCAATCACAACAATAACGGCGTCAAGTTGCTGCGGTTTCGTGCGAAAAACGGAGTGCGCACTATGAACACTTTCTTCGAGTACTGAAGCATGCATCAGAATACCTGGAACAAGGAAACTCGTGCACCGAAGTCGATGATCGATTTGATAATGGCATAGTCTGACTTAAGACGCTTTGTAATGGATATTCGCGTTGAGACGAGTGCAAAACTATCAACTGATCACCACCTTGTAGCCAGCACGCTATGCTGAAAAATGAAGTTGCATGTAAAAATCTGGTAGCAGTAGCAACTAGAGAATCAAACATTATCTTCGGTGGATACGAGACCGAAACTTGCAAGCAACATCGCACGGCGGTTTCAACATATCCCAGGGCTGCGGAAACAGAGTGGGAACTGTTTAACAGCGGCATAGGCTGTCGCAGAGAGCTGCGGATTCAAACGGGTTGGCCTGCCGCCTGGAGGTCACAAAAAAACGTCCTATCAGACACGAGAGGTATAACTTGCAGTTAAACAGAAGGCTGCATTCAAAAATGGCTTGGAAACAAAGAGTCTTCCACTCGCCTGCGGTATGTCGAAGCACCCAAGGCGTCAACGAAAGCCAAAACTTATCCATGGGAGAAGTTCGGTGTAGAGCTGCAGACGAATTTCCACACGGCAAACAACTTATTCTGGC